CGTCCTCCTGTTGGGTTTTGCCCAGACCCGGTGCCCGCATCCCCCCCTCTCCGCCCCTTTCCCCGGGGATGGGCGTGGTAGCCTGGCTTCCCCGGAGGTGGGTGCCCAGGCGCTCGGGAGCCCGGCCTGGCTTTTGCCGGTGATGCGGAACATGGACTCCCACCTGGTGGTATTATTATTAGGAGTGGGGGATACTAGCAAGTGGAAAGGATCATATCGGGGTTCCTTAATGGGGGGGGTGCATGACTGGGGGTGGTGGAAGGAGAGTGGGTTCAGTTGCAGCGGACGAGGCGCTCCCCCCCCGGGTCTTTGGGGTGCATAATGCAGAGGGGGGCGCCTTGGTCTCCCTTAGGACGAAGAGGCAGGTTGTCCGTCGATTTTGAGATCCTCAGATCTTGTTTTGATAACCAATGATGGCCTTATTCGGATGATTACTCCCCCTTCCCCCCCACACGCACACATACAAAATTAAAAATCCGTTATATTGGAAAAAGAGAGAAGCAGAGTGGCCTGTGTTTAGGTTTCTTGTGCTGTGTGCTTGAAAATGCGACTAACCGGCTAGTTTTTGAAGGCAATTGTGTCTCCTTTGGGTCTCTATGCATTAAATAAATAGGGATGTCCTGAATCCCTGGTGTGACCTCCCAAACTTTCATCAGGGCAGTAACAGCATTTTGAAATCTCTGAACTGAAGGAAGTTCATGAGTTTCAGTCTGGTTAAGAATTCTGACCGGACAAAGGTGTAGAATTTCACAATTGCACTTTCCATATTGTGTCATTGCAAGATGTGTGGGTTGTAACATCTTGATGAGGTTTCACAGGACTGATTCTGCTGGTTTTGTTTTTATTTGAACTGTCCTGCACACTCAAGATCACACAAGTCACCCCTAGAGAGGCAGTAAGGCAAAGACTGTACACACAAGTGCACAAAGTGCTGTATATACCCAGCAGTCCTTGTAACAGTCCATAAAATAGGTCCGTATTATTGCATCTGTATTGCAAATGGGGTTGAAGCTGAAACACAATACCTTGTGGTTGGGTGAGATTTAAATGGTACATTTCTTGAATCACACATCTGGCAACTATGGTACATCAGCTCTTTATGCTTGATTATGTCTGATTAAAAAGTACTGTAACTACTTGGGAGATTGAGAGTCAGTGGGACTCCACATGTGTATGATATTGCTCTAAAATTATCCTCCTTTCTTTTCTCCTTCCTCTTCATTGTCTGTGGCTAACAAGATAAACTGTGGAGTTAAACCAGACAGTTTATTCTAGAAGTGTGATTTGTATGTGTATGTATAAAATCAATAAGAATATACTAAGGAGGTAGACTTGTTAGTCTGTTGCACCAAAACCAACACAAGAGTCTTGTAGCATTTTAAAGATGCAGTTTCTAAGAGGCATACTCATTTTTTAAGCTTCCTCAAGACTTGTGGTGGTTTTTGGAACAAGTAGGGTGTGTCAAAATTGAATTGACAACATAAAGTTATTTATAATAATAGCACTTATAGTAATAATAATTAGCATTATAATTTGTAATATTACTATTAATGTTTGTTATATTACAGATTATTAGTTTTAAAGGATATTGGCTTAATGAAAGTATTTAAAAGTGTAATCTGACTTTCTAAGACTATAAAATATGCTGGGAAATGGAAGCCAATGACCGGAGTGCTGGTTTCTTCCCAATAAAAAGAAATACCGTGTTTCCCTGAAAATAAGACAGGATCTTATATTAATTTTTCCTCCAAAAATGCATTAGGGCTTATTTTCAGGGGATGCTTTATTTTTTTCATGTACAACAATCTACATTTATCCGAATACAGTCATGTCATTTGGTTGCTGCACAATGGTGGAGGGCAGGGTTTCACTTAACTGGGACTTATTTAGGGGGTAAAATGAGCATGCTGAAAAATCATACTAGGACTCATTTTCAGGTTAGGTCTTATTTTCGGGGAAAGAGGGTAGGAATGTAAAAGGGTTCTGGGTAGAGATGAGGATATTCATATTCATATATGAATACAAATATCCCTACACAGCTGGACTTTAACAAGGGTTCGGCCCCTGGGGCTGGACTGTCCACTCACATGAGCTGCTGCAGTGCCAATTGTGCTCATCCTGCCAATGGTGGCCGGAGCTTCGCTCTCTTCCTGCTTGGCTGGCCACTCCAGGCAGGACACATGAGTGGGCGGTCTGGTCCCAGGGGCTGGACTCTCATCAGGTCTAGCTGTGTCAGGGATGTGGCTATTTGTATACAAATATCCCCATCTCTAGTTCTGTGCAGTCAGTGAGTATATTAGATGGTTTAAGATTCCATAAAATCTAATTTTAAGAAAAGTATTAAAACTACCAAACTATGATGATGTTTCAAGTTGTACAATAACTTTGTACACTAGCAGTACAACCCTGACCAGTCCAAGTAGCCAAGAACTGGCTCAGCCGACTGGTGGAGGTTGTGCTGAATCCAGATCCCTCCTGTTCTAGGAATGATGGGAATTCCTAAGGAGCAGAGTGGATTTGACTTAAATCAAATCAATGTAAGTCACAATTTAAATCTAAAAAAAATTATTTAAAAATTTAAAAATTCTTATTTAAATCGTTTTTTAAAAAAACCACAAATTTTTGTCCACTTTGCTTAGGAGAATCCTCTTTTTGGTCCAGCACTGTGGTCACATTGTGGCTGCATCCTTAGGCTAGAGGAGATTTGGATCTGGCACAGGTCAGTTCCTCCCTTGTCCTGCTGGGTTTTTTTTTAAGCTGTTCTAGCAGCAAGACTTGGCACATTACTCTGTGGCAGATCTCTGGGATGCACTAACAGAAGAGCATTTCTGCATGGATATGCATACTAGCATTTCTAGAACATAGTGGGACATCAGAGCAAGCATAAACACAATTTTTGTGCTTGTAGATTACTGAGTAGCTGTAACATATGATTATTGTGCACACATAATAGGTGAAAAATGCTAAATATTTGTTGAAATTTGTAAATCATGAAACAAACCCTTTTTGAGCAGGTTCTCTATAGGCCCATGATGGGCTGGCCAGCTTCCATCCCATGCTCTGTGTAGACATGATCTGGAGGCATAGGATGCACCCACTTGACTGAAGCTTAGATTTGGGGCCTACCACTGTCTGGATAGAAGAGTACCTGGAAAGACATCTTCTTGAGTTCCCTATTGGAAGAAAGGCATGAAATTAAAGCAGTAAATAAAAATGCAATAATATAAAATATGTCAAGCATGTATATTACATGCATCCTCCTGGTATAGTTATTTGAAGTGGTATTATCTTGGACAAAGTGACAAGCAGCATAGTTGCTCTGCATAGCTTTATGGATGTGATCTCCTTTACTGTCACTATGGTCTTCATCATCAACCTGGAGCAGGAGCTGGTGAGATTAGGGTGAGTCTCCTGTAAATTAATAGAAAAAAGCCTTGAACACCTAAGGCCAGAACTTTTAGCAGATTGCCTTAACCTTAGACATGCCGATTTGATTCCTGATAGCTTTACCTGAAGGTCTTTTTTGGTTGTTAACTAATAGCACAAAGGTGGGTCTTTTAAATAGTAGCAACCTCCCTTTGGAACATTTTCCTCTGCATGGCTTGAGAGTCAGAAACAATGCTAGCTTTTATAATCCTGTTTAAAAAAATGCTTGTTGACAAAGGCCTGTCCTGGCCAGTAGTGACTCTTTCCATCATTCTACAGTACTTGCATATTAGATGTCAATGGGTTTTGAATTATTTAAAAGTTTTTAAATTGTATTATATTGGCTTTTATGTTATCTTCCTTGTTTTAGTGTAAACCAGTGGTTCTTAACCTCAGGTGTTTTTGGACTGCAACTCCCAGAAGCCTTCACCACCAGCTGTGCTGGCTGGGGTTTCTGGGAGTTGCTGTACAAAAACACCTAAGTAACCCAAGGTTAACAACCACTGGTGTAAACCATTTAGAGATTTTGTTATATCCAGTGGTACATAAACACCAAACCACTTCAGTATTAGATTGCTTTTGCTCTGAGCTTCTTATTCTGTATTATGGCCATCTTCATATGTGTTGAGAACTGTATCATTTCTTGTTTCATGGTAGAAGGTGCACTTATTTTTAGGAAATATTAACAAGCATAAGAATCTAAACTAGTTGATTTTAAATGTCCTATTTGTTTACCGTCACCTGGGTGAGAATAAAAATAGTCTCTTTTTCTTTGCCCATCAGCTCATCTGGAAAGCACAATGAGTGTCAAGGCCTTCAAGCTTGTTCCCGCAGTTGAGCGGGAAATGTTGATGAATGACAAAAATCGGATCAATATTGAATGCATTGAGTGTTGTGGACGGAATCTCTACATTGGCACCAATGACGGTTCTATCTGCCACTTCCTCCTGGAAGAAAAAAATTCACCAGCAGAGAAGACAACTTTTTCTGTCACCAAGCAGCTGCATAAATACCTAAGTTTTCGGAAAGCTGTGGGAGAGCTGAAAGCAGCGTCAGCCCTCAATCGGCTTCTCGTGCTATGTGACAATACCATAACGTTGATGAACATGATGAACTTGGAGCCTATCCCCACAGGGGCAAGGATCAAAGGAGCTGTGACATTCACTTTGAATGAGAATCCTGTGAGTGGGGACCCATTCTGTGTCGAGGTTTGTATCGTTTCTGTCAAACGAAGGACCATTCAGCTGTTCCTGGTATATGAGGACAGAGTCCAGATTGTGAAGGAGGTTTCCACTCAGGAACAGCCCTGTGCTGTGGCTGTGGATGGCCATTATTTATGCCTTGCTCTAACCACTCAGTATATTATCCTGAATTATAATACTGGAGTCTCCCAGGATCTGTTTCCTTACTCTAGCGAAGAGAGACGGCCAATTGTGAAAAGAATAGGTAGAGAAGAGTTCCTGTTGGCTGGACCTGGAGGATTAGGTAAGGTTGTAATGGTTGTTGCATCCCCCTGCGAAGGATTTTTTTTACCTTATCTGTCCTAAAACTTGATCTAAGTTTGTTTGTTTGTATTTATACAAAACTTGCTCCATCAGATTTGTCGCTTTGTACAGTTTTATCCATTTCTTGCTCGTCTTTTATTTTTTTATACTGCCTTTCTGGAAAACTGCTATGATGGTGTACAACAAAACCAGTTACAAAAATATAAAATGAAATAAGCAGAATGTTGAAAATTGCACTATTTAAATCAATTTAAAATGCTAAATTAAAGACCAGTTACAAAAACATAATAATCAAAATGAAATAAGCAGAATATTGAAAATTGCACAATTTAAATCAATTTAAAATGCTAAATTAAAAGCTCAGTACTTTGCAAAATCCTTATATAGCACCAATAAAATAAAGGTGTAATTATTGGGCTGTTGTCTTGGCCTGACATTAAAAAGTCAGTGGGAGCAACCTGTCATGCTTGCAAAGTTTATTATTGTCTTGCAGAACTCTTTCATAATTAGACTCTAGTCTAATGTAATAAAAATCCCACCATGTTGATTCTGACTTCTGACTACTTTTTTCAGGTTCTTGTAGGTACAGAATACTTATGTGATTTACGTTCCATTCTTTTGGATCCATCCTGGGACTGTGCAGCTTGCCCAAGATATAGCACCAATAAAATAAAGGTGTAATTATTGGGCTGTTGTCTTGGCCTGACATTAAAAAGTCAGTGGGAGCAACCTGTCATGCTTGCAAAGTTTATTATTGTCTTGCAGAACTCTTTCATAATTAGACTCTAATATAATAAAAATCCCACCATGTTGATTCTGAGTTCTGACTACTTTTTTCAGGTTCTTGTAGGTACAGAATACTCATGTGATTTACTATTCCCTTCTTTTGGATCCATCTTGGGACTCTGCAGCTTGCCCAAGGCCACACAGGCTGGCTTTTCTCCCAGGAGGCACAGGGGGGAATTCAATTCTCAGCCTCCTGACTCACTGAGCTATCTAGCCAGCTGTAGTCTGAGCCAGAGTAATGCCTAATGTAGAGTAATGTAAAATGAATCTGTTGTAACCTTGGAAATCCTCTGTACAGCCTGGCCCTTTAGGGTACCTAATTATCCAAAGTACTACAAGTCTGTCAAATTTGATTTTTGATGTTTTATGGAACTTTAGAGTTGCTATAGTTGATGTGCCCATATAAGATTTGTGTCAGGTTCTTACTGCTCTAAGGAAGGGTTCTCTAACTGTGAGGTCCAGAATATTCTTATTGAAACAACATATAGAGACTTTGATGCTGTTTAATGTTCAAAATTAACTTGCAATTGAGGCATCATAGCCTTTTTGCTAATACCGTACATTAGAGATCACTGATTTCCAGGGTGGATTTGATTTTTTTAAAATAGGATTTTTAACAGTTTAATTTTTAAAATCATTTTTTTAATAAAAATCACAATTTAAATCAATTGGATTTTTTTAAATGTTGATTTTTTTTAATCCACCCTGCTGATTTCATCAATATGTACGGTTCCTCCACCCATAGCAATCCACAATTTGAGCAAAGTGTAAAGGCTGTGTTTTATTTTTTGTGAAATAAAACACACACATACAGGAAGCACAGAAAGAATGGCTGGTTGGTTTAAAAGATGTAAGCAGTCCACCTGGTCTTTCTGATTCTTAAATGTCTATGTACTAAGAAGTCTGCTGTCAGTTTTGTGCAATTTTTACAAACTGTACTAAAACCATTCTCAGAAATGCAAAAACTTTCATTGATGTCTTCCCATTTTGCAAAGCAAAGAGAAAATCGTTGTGCTTTTTGTTCTCATGCCTGAAAACATGACAAGTGGGGATTTACATCCTGACCAACTTTAGAGTGAAATGTAATATTGTTTCCCTTATAACAGTCAAAATGATAGGAAAGTGAAGCATAGAGCATAGAATGTTACTTCACTGTCAATATGTTCTCCATTCTGCATTCTTGCAGAATATTGATGGACTTTAATGGTTTTGGCCATTAGGAGGAAATGATAAGGTATACCTTAGCTAACACTGAAAGTGCATGGGTATGGGGCGAGAAAGCAAAAGAGCGGGGAGGGGGGAAGATTTTATGTTTACTAGACCATCTTTTACCTGCTTTGACCTAGGCTGACCTTCCTAGGCTAACACTCTTGGGATTGCTGATCTCCTTTCTTCCTTCTCCACTTTTGAATCTATTTCCTTAAAGAGATTCTCTTTTTACCTAAGAAGCAAGAGCAAGCATAGCCCCGTGCATCTCTACTTTACTTTGCTGGGACTAATGATTTTCCTATCACAATATATTTCCTACAATAAACAGTAGCTTTCTTATTTTGCCAGGTCCCGAGTAGAGATGGACACAAACTATTTTGTTCCAGTTCTTAAGGCAGCGCAAACGCTGCTGCTCCCCTCCCCTGCCTACTCTGACTCAAAGTGCCACTCACCGGGCCTAGCTTGCTTGTTTTTTTCCACCTCCTTAACTGATTTTCCCAATCTCGGCAATAGCTCAGGCTCCTCTGCCCTGCCCTTTTGGTTGATCTCCCACTCAGACAAAAGGGCAGGGCAGAGAAGTCTGTGCTCTTGCTTATGACTGGGAGATTAGCTGAGGAAGAGGAAAAAACAAGGAAGCTGGGCCTGCTGTGTAGCTGTTTGAGTTAGAGGAGGCAGGCGAGGGGAGCAGTAGCAGATGTGCTGCTGCCTTTATGAACTGGGATGAACCGGTTCGTGCCCATCTCTGAGTGGCTGCCCTGCAGAGTGAAGTGTGCGTCTCCAGGCATTTTGATGTTTCATAGGGTTGAATATGTGTACCACTACGGCACATTTACTGCATGTTCTATGAAAGATGTGCATTACTTGTGGTTTATTACTTCCAAGGTTCAGTATATTCATGCCAAAACACACACACACACAGACCTTGGAAATGCAGTTGATCTGCTGATTGTCTATAAACTTTGATGCCCCCCCCAATATTCTCTTTTTAAACTGCCAGGTATGTTTGCAACTGTGGATGGCATTTCCCAGCGTGCTCCTGTTCACTGGTCAGAAAATGTAATTGGTGCTGCCCTCTGTTTTCCCTATGTAATTGCTCTGGATGAAGAGTTCATTACAGTACACAGTATGTTGGACCAGCAGCTAAAACAGACACTACCCTTTAAGGATGGTCACATCCTGCAAGATTTTGAAGGTACAGTCTGGTTAATCTTGTGTGGGTGTATTTATTTATTTGGTACATTTGTATCCTGTCTAGAGATGGGCATGAAAAGGTGTTCAGTGCTTCCCTGCCCTGCCTCCTCCAGCAGGCGCCCACTCAGAGGCAGCATTCTGGTTTCCCTGTCCTGCCTACTCCAGGTGCTGCCTCTGAGTGGGTGCCTGCTGGAGGAGGAAGGGCTGGGAAGCACCGAGCACCTATTTGCCCAAAGGACAAATGGGCATGAACTGGAAGTTCATACCCATCTCTAATCCGGTCTCTTCCCCCCACCCCCCACCCCAGTGATCCCAAGGGATTGTATGTGTGATTTCTCATTTCCTGAAATAATTTATTTGGGGGAAAATCTGTTTTTATAGTTTGTGCAAAGGCGAAATGTGAGGACATGCCAAACTGTGTATCTAATAAATTGTGAGTGTTTGCATTTTTAGAGTGTCTAAGAATGTATCGATACATCTAGGGTTGGTAGAACTTAACAGAATTGTGGGCAATAGGGAGTGGAAGGCAAAGGATAAACCATGGGGGTGAAGCAGGTGGAAGCTGCTCAAAGGCAAAAAACCCCTAGTTTCTATTGCAAGACTTGCTCTGTGTTTATTCTTTGAATATTCAGTGGGGAAATCTTCCTTTTTCCAGTTTCAGCCCACAACAACAAAGTCTAAAAAGTTTTTTTTTCTCTCTCTCAAAACTTTTATTAGTAGTATATAACAGGGAAACTTGTTTGTGGCGCTTGTCTCATTAAAAAGTTATCATCTGAATAAACAACTTGTTGGTGGCATCAGTGAATGTGTTCAGAGACCCTGGTTTGTAATGAACGATGGGGCATGAAGGTCTACACTCATCAGTGGCTCCTGCTTGCAAGAGGAGTGGCTAAACAAACCAGCATCTTGCTCTACAGTTACTTAGTTGTGTTGCCTGGTGTGTGGACACCTTTCTTTCTCTGGAGTGTTCTTTCTTAACAAATCAGCAAAGGAATCCAGTGTTTGTTCTGGGATTTCTCCTTTCTCATTGTTGGAAGAAAAGAAACTGGGCAAAGAAGGCTTCCTTCTGCCCGACGATGGGATAAACTAGCCGAAATGTTGGTCAAAAGAGAAAAGGAAAAACAAAGGAGGAAAAAAAAGAGAGAGAACATGTTGTGGCACCTTAAAAACTAACTTAAAGATTTGTTCCTTTTTTAGCTTTTCTGAACCAGAAGCTGTCTTTAAGGTGTCACAAAATTTGTCCGTCCCCCACCTACCCCAAATTTCCCCTTCTCTTGTCTTGGAAACAATTACAGAGTGAAGCTTCATGACTTGTTTAATGCCTCCAGTTTGCAAGTGAGACTAATCAAGCAGCATGTGCCAGCATGCTCTTCATTTAAGAAAGGATTCCTAAGGATTCCTGCTTTATTCTGATATGCAAGCGGTTAGGTGAGGTTTGAGGTCTGTCGACCCTGTTCTATTCAGGGTATCTCTCTAAATTCAATGGGAACCATGGGTAGAAGGAGAAGAGGCTCTGCTGTTGTTGTGTGAATTGTTGTGACTTCCTGCAGGGAGTCACAATACCTTTGAAATTGCCTCACATTATGGGAACCATGGCAGTGTGCCAAGAAGACTCGGTTTATACTTAATAAACTCATTTGTGCCATAAAAAAAAACATGTGCAAGCAGAAGGCTTCATCTCCATTTAGTGTTACTTTACTGGCACAGTGGTGGACCTGGCGAGCAACTCTTCCTTGGGTGGAAGAGGTTCCCTGTTGGCAGATGGGGTCCTTTTTTGCCATCCACAACAAAATACTTCATAAATTCAGAAGAAAACGCTGCCTGCATTTGGAGACCGAGACTAGGGTGAAATCTTAGAAGTGTATTTTCTCTTTTAGTACTTGGTGTAAATGTTGCTTTTAATAAATTCATCTGTGGAAGGACAACTGATAAGTTGAACACATAGTAACTGGGAAACACCCATCAATCTGAAGTTTCATTTCCCCAAACTTTCCTCGAACTATAGGGGGGGAAATGTATTCACCAACATCTTAGTAAGCCGTTGTTTAAAAAATAGTCTGTAGAAATTTCCTAGCATTATCTTCTATATTTATACAATATTTACTAGTTGTTATGAAACTCGCATGATTTTCCCTATTACCCCAACTTCATGCTCACAACAGCTTTCATTAAAGGGCACCAAAGAAATCCAGGGTGTTTGGATGTCACACTAAACCAGAATTCTGTAAAATTCTGGTTCTTTGTGAATGAGGCAAGGTGATGGTACATGCAAGCTGATTACTTCAGTTGCATGGAGGAGCAGCTAAAAAACTTCTGACTTTCCCTCTGTGGTTCATATTCAGCCTTCTGGTTTGACTTTCTGCCAGCAAGCCAGTGAAACATCCTACAGCTTATTCTGGGATTGCTTACCTGGCCTGTTGGGGTAAGCTTGAAGCTAAGCGTGTGAGGCCCTGCTCAGTTCAGATGTCAGAGAGACAGAGTTTCCATGGTTTGCTGAGCTGCTCCTGCTTGGAGCAGGGTGATTTGGGCCGCATGTACAGTCACGCTTCTCACAGCCACGGGTCCTGTGGTATCATCTCTTAGTGTGATGTTGAATTAGATCATTCAGTCACACTGGCAGGTAGCTTTTTGCAAAGCTGGATATTGCATTCCTGCTATGTGATGAATCATCACTATGTGACAGAAACTGTTGTATTGAACTACAGTGGTGCCTCACACAACGATGTTAATTGGTTCCAAAAAAATCAACGTTGTGTGAAACATCGTTCTGTGAAACACCATTTCACATAGGAATGCATTGAAAACTGGTTAATTTGTTCCAATTGGAACGGATTGCCATCGTTCAGTGAAAATCCCCATAGGAAACATCGTTGAGTGAAACAATGTTTCCTATATCGGAATGTATTGAAGCCGACTCAATACATTTCAATGCCTTTGCGAAGTCTTTTTTCGCTCCTGTAAAAGTGTCTTACAATGTTTGGACACTGTTTTAAATGATTGCAATGGTTAGTCCACCTCCTGAAACCTATGCAAACTGATTTTGGTGTTGTTCTGACACTTCGTTAATTTATGATGATTTTTTGTTTTTTCCATTGGAAACCATTAGACAGACCATCCAATGGTTTCCTATGGAGAAAAAACAAAAAATCATCATAAATTAACGAAGTGTCAGAACAACACCAAAATCAGTTTGCATAGGTTTCAGGAGGTGGACTAACCATTGCAATCATTTAAAACAGCGTCCAAACATTGTAAGACACTTTTACAGGAGCGAAAAGGGAGATCGTTGTGTGAAAATCCCCCATAGGAAACATCGCTGTGTGAGGCAGCAAATTTAACAGAAAAAGGCATCGTTGTGTGAATTCATCGTTGTGTGAGGCACTCGTTGTGCGAGGCACCACTGTACAACTAAACAGGTGTGTTTCCCCTTTTGAAAACTGTATAAAGTTTATAGCTCTTGCTGAATTTACCTTTATCCCATAGGCTTCTGTTGTGATGTAAAGTGAAAGCTGGACGCTTTGTTTTCGTTTTGTTTTCAGGCAAAGTAATTGTAGCTACCACCAAAGGAGTATATATCTTGGTGCCACTACCTCTGGAAAGACAGATTCAAGATCTTTTGGCTAGCCAGAGAGTCGAAGAAGCCCTTGTGTTGGCAAAGGGGGCCCGAAGAAATATTCCAAAGGAGAGATTTCAGGTCTGGTTTTTGTTTGGGGTTGTTTTTTCGGGAGGGGAGGGGGGTACACTTAACATGTCAAGGTGGCTGATTAGCAAAGAAGCTATGAAACTGAAGATTTATTTTAGTGCCTGTGATAACATTTTGGCATCACAACAGGGCTACTACGTTCTTATTGTTGCTTACAGGATGCATTCTGAATGAGTGAAGGTTTTCAGGAGTTGTGGAACTGGGTTAAAGAGAGAAAGGGGGGGGAATGATGAGCCACGCGAGTAATGGGTAGACCTATGACACTTGCATTTGTAACAGGGTAAATGGCAGAGCAATCTCTTGTGCCTTGTCTAATCTCGATTATAGACTTCAGCCAGTCTTGCTACCAGGCAGGATTGCAAATTTAACAAGTTCTGGAGAAGGTGTTAAGTGCTTAGAGTCTATTTAACATGTTTAGAGCGATTTATGCACAGTGGATGGCATCCAACTAGTGTCCCTACACTGACAGAATGATCTTACATCAGGATCAGTCTGGCCCCTTCTCCCTGTGCCTCCCTGGTTCTGCATTTCATTCCCACTCATTTGTTGAAAAAGCTTCCAGAGTAGCAGTGGCTTATGTAAGATTTTTTAAAAAATGAACAATATAGTTCTCTACCTGCAGGTTTACAGTAAAAGGCGTGACTTCAAAATTAAAAAGAGCTATCCAACAGTTCTTAGAGATGTGTTCCTTGGGCAATTCCACTGGTAAAATAAGCCCCTTCCAGTGATCAATCACACACACAAAAGCACATTGGAATGCAATGATGCTATGATGAAAATGCTATCCCTGGAAGCAAAATGGGCTTAATTGCAGGGAATATGCATAAAGAGCAAATATAAGCAGTGGTAGTGATAAATAAATCAAAAAGCAGAAGAAACATTGTAGCTTGGCCCGACTTGCAGAGCAGGTGGTTGCTTCCACAGTCCCGCTTTGTGCATGCATGAGGCAAACAATGTCTACATTTTACACACAGTATAGGGAGAACCCTTTCCTGATTTTAAACAACATCTCTGTGATGACATTATGCAGCCACTTCATAACTAACTGAGAGGATCTATTTAACCAAATAAACTTTATCAGTTTGGAGGCGGGAGAGGTATAAATGGGAACAAATCACAGACTATAGCAGTTAGCTCACCTTGATTAAAAACTCAGACGATTAATACAAACGTCACGACAACCATTCTCCAACAGTTGTTGGTCACACAAAACAGTATTGAGTACAATGCATGGTCATTAATTATCGACTTCTTATTCAGGATTTAAAAAAGAGAAGAATTCCAACGAACCCTTTTATCTTTAGTGTGCCTGCCTGTTAGCAGGTTAGCACTGTAGATGCCGTCTGATGTTAATAGTAAGTAGTAGCTACACAGCTTCAGAGGACTGTGAAATATCTCTGCTCCCAAATTATTGATAATTGGAAGGTAGCTAATTGATGCCTTTCCTGTTTCATTTTAATTTTATGCTGGCACTAATCTTGTATCTATGTACAGTGGGTATAAAACGTTTATACACCCCTGTTAAAATGTCAAGTGTCTGTGATGTAAAAAAAATGAAACAAAGATAAATCATTTCAGAACTTTTTCCATCTTTGATGAGACCTATGAACTGTACAACTCGGTTGAACAACAAACTGAAATCTTTTAGATGGAGGGAAATAAACAGTAAAAACTGAAATAATACGGTTACATCTGTGTGCACACCCTCTTATAACTGGGAGTGTAGCTGTGTTCAGCAGTAAACAATCACATTCAAACTCATGTTAATTAGGAGCCAGTACACCCCTGTCACCATTTAAAGTGCCTCTGTGGACTCCCAAATAAAGATCAGCTGTGATAATAGGTCTTTCCTGACATTTTTTTAGGCAGAGCAGAAGCCATGGTCCGCAGAGAACTTCCAAAGCATCAGAGGGATATCATTGTTAAAAAGTATCAGTCAGGAGAAGGGTACAAAAGAATTTCCAAGGCATTAGATATACCATGGAACACTGTGAAGGCAGTCATCATCAAGAGGACAAAATATGGCATAACAGTGACATTACCAAGAACTGGACATCCCTGCAAAATTGATGAAAAGACTAGAAGAAAATTGATCAGGGAGGCTGCCAAGAGGCATACAGCAACATTAAAGGCGCTGCAGTAATATCTGGCAAGTACTGGCTTTGTGGTACATGTGACAACAATCTCCTGTAATCTTCATACGTCTGGGCTATGTGGTAGAGTGGCAAGATGGAAGCCTTTTCTTACAAAGAAAAACATCCAAGCCTGGCTAAATTTTGCCAAAACACATCTGATGTCTCTCAAAAGCATGTGGGAAAAATGTGTTATGGTCTGATGAAACCAAGGTTCAACTTTTGCCCCTAATTCCAAAAGATATGTTTGGCACAAAAACAACACTGCGCATCACCAAAAGAACACCATGCCCACAGTGAAGCATGGTGGTGGCAGCATCATGCTTTGGGGCTGTTTTTCTTCAGCTGGGACAGGGATCTTAGTCAAGGTAGAGGGAATTATGAATAGTTCCAAATACCAGTCAATATTGGCACAAAACCTTCAGGCTTCTCTAGAAAGCTGAACATGAGAAGTAACTTCGCCTTTTAGCATGACAATGACCCAAAGCACACATCCAAATCAACAAAGGAATGGCTTCACCAGAAGATAATTACCATTTTGGAATGGCCCAGCCAGAGCCCAGACTTGAATCCGATTGAATATCTGAGGGGTGATCTGAAGAGGGCTGTGCACATGAGACACCCATGCCATCTGACAGATTTGGAGCGTTTTTGCATGCCATCTGACAGATTTGAAGCATTTTTGCGAAGAGTGGGCAAATATTGCCAAGTTAAGATGTGCCATAGTGACAGACTTATACCCAAAAAGGCTGAGTGTAGTAATAAAATGTACCCAAAAAGGCTGAGTGTAGTAATAAAATCAAACAGTGCTTCAACAAAGTATTAGTTTAAGGGTGTGCACACATATGCAACCATATTATTTCATTTTTTTTATTTTTACCGGTACTTCCCTCCACCTAAAAGATTTTAGTTTGTTGTTCAACTGAGTTGTACAGTTCATAGGTCTCATTAAAGGCAGAAAAAATTCTGAAATGATTCATTTTTGTCTCTCATTTTTTATATCACAGACACTTGACGTTTAACAGGTGTGTAAAATTTTCATATCCACTGGACATACATAGAAATACTAAATTTGTACACTTGTGTCCCATTAAATTTGATTTATAGTGCTTATGAAAAGTTTAATGAAAGAACAGGTATAAATGGTCAATAGACACACAACAGGAAATTTGTGTTAAAGCAGATTGAAATATTGCATCTTGATTTAAAGCAGCTGGCTTGTAAACGTCATTCTGCTTCCTGATCAAGACTGTTTCAAGTGTAACAAACTTCTGGAATGCATCTCTATACAGGAGAGACCATGTGTTCCATTTTATAGAAATATTTTGCCTGCATATCCTTTGTAAAATTAAAGGGGGTGGGGAGAGAAAATGAGAAAAAAAATAAGAGCAAAATATTGAGGCTAAACTTCAAATTTTGATGCATGAAAGCTTACGATGAACCAAGCTTGTTAATCTTTAAAATGTAATATTTTATACTTGTTTTTCTTCCTGTTTTCTTCTTTTTTTCTCTTTAATTTTGCCAACGTGCTAAAACAAACCAACACAGCTACTTCTGTGGAAACTGCCTGGTTTCCTGTTGCTTCCTATTCACTGGATAGGGCTAAGAGCTGGATGTTGCTGCTTTGCAGAGTCAGGCTGATCTTTTGACCTCCAACTTCCTGATGCTGTATGTTGTCTAAAGCAGTACGAAATGTGTGCAGAGGAAATTAGGAAACTCAAATTTGGCTGATTTTTGCAGTTTCAGGAGATGTTATTAGTGCATCAATCTCATTATTGTAGCTCAAAGGCTTAAATACCCTGGTTTTTTTTTGTCTTCACAGGCAATGTACAAGCGAATTCTGCAGCAAGCAGGATTTATACAGTTTGCACAGCTTCAGTTCCTAGAAGCAAAAGAACTCTTCAGGTAATCTTTCCTATCGGGTGAGAAATACTCCTGCATTTTCAATCAAGCACTGATCCATGTGCTTGGCTTTTAAGGCTCAAGTACTGAGATAATTTGAGGTGGTTTGGCTGAAACATTTGAAAAATGTTTTTTTTTAGGACAAAGGTTAGTTTGGGGTCACTCTGTTTGATATAGAAATAGCAGTATACGTACCCCAGTCCATTTGCTGCATATCTTGATTTCAGTATGCTGGACAGTGAGACTGAATCTACCTGCTCTGCTCATAGATGCATCTTGTTTACTTGTGGGGAACGACTGCTGTGACAGAGTTGATTTAGATCCACTTTGGTGTTTGTCAACTTTCATAGCAACCTTTTTAAAAGTCATGGATTTTATCAAGAGTTCTGTTGTGGCTCATAATGCTGGTTTTTGTACACTGATGGGCAGGCGATACTTGTTTGTTAGTACATAGCCCCATGGGCAGGGGGTTCTTTGGTATGGTATTCGCATCCAGCCCTTTGTCCCTCTAACGAGCCTATTCAGACCAGGGGGAAGTGAAACCAACCTGGAGGATATATCAGGATCTCCTACCAACTCTCCTCAGACTGAAGAAGCTACTTGGATAAGTAGCGAAACATTTCAACCTAATAAGAAAGAAGTCCAGTTGCCATGACTCAACTTACAGATAACCTCACCTGGATGACTGAGAATCTTCACAGATATACCACATCCAGTCCATTAGTTTTTCCATATTACTTGCTTTGGAAGCATGCACATGTTTTAGATATTCCCTTTAAAAACTTGCAGTGGAACTATGTGAATCAATGAATTGTTCATAGAGAAGAAGGAATTAACATATGGAGAGCTTCTCCATGTTCATTGCAAACCAGCACATGGTTTGCGATAAGCTTTATATTATGAGCTGGACCAGCAAATGGGGCTGCAGGGAACCTGAATGTTGCTGACTCCAGTCTAAAACATGATACTCGGCATAATTGCAGACCAAATGCTGTTCTATAGTGGCAGAACCACATCACCCAAAACCGAGAGTTTGCTCTCCCAGCTAGCAGCGTTCTTTGGTGTTGAAAGGAAGCTATCGTGGTACCCCTTTTTTAAAACCAGAGACTGCTGCTGTAGTTGCTGAATTTTGGGGTAACAACCGTTACACCAGTTGTCCAGTTGCCATCGGATTTCAGCAGTGAGAAGAATCTCACTGCTAGTGTACACACTTATCCTAGAGCGATTTGTGTTTCTCCATCCCTAGCAACTTGTCCACCCAGCACAAACTCATATGTCCTAGTTAGGAACTTGAGTGTCATCACTAAGACATGCATCTAATGTGTATGTATTTTATATAGAAACCAGAATATATGAATCTCAAAGTCTATCTTTGGGCCTCTCCCTTTTTTGATATATTTTACCAAGTCAACATGCTCTGAACTTGTCGAAGGAGGCAAAAGACAACTGCCAGAGAGTTTTTCTTGCAAATTATTTATGCTGGTGGTATGTTGAAAATGCTTAGACCAATGTTGGGGAACCTTTTGGTTTGCCAGACATTTTAATTTCCAGTCCCGGCCAGTTTGTTGCCAAAAGTAAAGAGTTGTAGAAGATGTAATCCAAAATATACAGACTGCTAAAGGTTTCCCCATCTCCCAGCAATAGTCTCTTGTCTAGAGCTACAAGTAAGGTTTGGTTATTTCCTTTCCTGACAGAGGGTGGCATTATTAAACCTATAAAGTAGTAAATCTGGATTTTCCAACTCCCTTTGGCATGCACTTCTGGTTCAATTGTTTTGGAAAGTTGTCCAAAAAGAAGTAGGAAATGTGGCCTTCTCTAGATGACGGGCGCCTCAGCTTTATATGCAAAGATACAAATGAATCTTTTTTTATGCAGAATTTGAAATCAATTTAGTATCTTGGCTTATTCCAAAGGTGGTAACAGGAGCTTTCCAGTTCTGTCAAAATTCCTGTTTTGTTCATATATCTTCAGCTGTCTGTTGCGAGAATGTTGTCTGTATCTGAATGTGTCAGTTTAGGCTTATGAGGTATGATACCAACTTAAAATCCCCATGGAGACCTTAAAGCTGAGGTTCCTTTCAGTAATCCAGCACTCATGCGTTTTAATGAACACATGGAATAGGCATAGAATAATCTAAGAGAATTGCCTTCTTGTTATATGTGTTCATATAACATTTCTTAGACTCAACTTTACTTCTGAAGATATTTCCACAAGTGGCAGTTATAACAACGCCCTTATTGTCTTACCAATAATGTGCACAAAACTCAGTATCCTTTGTGCATGTGTGTTGTGTGCCTATGTGTGTGTTTTCTTGTTTTTTGGGGGGGGGTTGTCTCTTTTTGCTTCATCTAGTTTGACATTGTAATTGCAGAAGCGGCCAACTTGACGTTCGGGAGCTGATCTCTCTCTACCCCTTCCTGCTGCCTACTTCCTCTTCATTCATGCGATCGCACCCTCCTCTCCACGACTATGCTGACTTAAACCAACTGACACAAGGGGATCAGGAGAAAATGACCAAGTGCAAGCAGTTTCTCATGAGCTACTTGAGTGAAGTGCGTAGCACCGACGTTGCAAATGGCTACAAGGAAGATGTGGATACAGCTTTGTTGAAGCTCTACGCAGAAGCCAATCATGAAAGCCTTCTAGATCTCCTGGTCACCGAGAACTTCTGTCTCCTCACAGACAGTGTGGCATGGCTGGAAAAGCACAAAAAGTAAGCTTACAACATACAGCATTGTCTGGTCTGTGTTGGATCCTAGGTCTTTTTGGCCAGTTTTTGACACATCAAACCAGGAGCCCATGCCTTTTTGGAATGACATTAGACTTCTGGTTGTATCTTGATTTTTCAAATCTGACATCTGAATATTTTTAAACAAAAATATGTCTTTACAAACAGAGAAGTGGAACTATAACAACCATAATAATAAATCCCTAGCACCAATCACTATGGTGCTAGTTTGGTACATGCCCCCAAATTCCAAACAGGGGCTCATTAATAGCTAGTAAGAAGCTGCTGTAAGTTATGCTAGTTGCCTTCTGCAGGCATGACTAAGCAACAAGATTTGGACCATAAGATAAAGCAATACAAATCACCATACATTTACAAACAAATATTTTAATTCTTTTTATAACATACATTGTATATTGTGTTTCTCAGACTGCTTCTCAAAAGGTTTGTAACTCAAAAAAGAGAGGGGTTTTTTTGTTCATGTTATTCTTCTGAAAAGCCAAACATGTAAAAGCTGTTAACTCTTGCAAAATAGCAGTGTTCCAGCACCTACCTCCTTACTGTGTAACTGGAGAGATCTGAATATTGCAAGATAAGCAAAGGTTTTGAAGGCTCAACAACACTGGCCTTTCCTGTTGTGATCCACTGGAACTCCAGTCCCTATGGATTATACTGAAAAACAGAAAAAGGGTTATTAGGCTCCTATTTCAGGAACAGCTGCAGGATTCGCCTCTTATCTGGCTTAGCTGCTAAGCCTTGATTTGCCTTTATCTTAGGTGTTATATCTACTGTTCCAGTGGTACATGCCCTGTTTTCATCTATCACGCAAGAAGAGAAGCTCTTATCTCCTCCCCAATCTGTCTTTGCTTTCTTCATGTGAAAAACAGTGCATCTGCCATGAAGAGGTTTCTACCCATGTTTAGATGCTGCACATGAGTAGCAAGAATCTCTCCTTTGCATGTGCATTGCTTTTCATGTGGCTAAAGCAAAGGTGGAGAGGGGAAGGACAGCCCTTGTACTGTTAATTGATGGATAAAAATTGGGTAAGTAATGCCTGAATAGGGCTGGAGTCTTGAGTACTGACAACAGGTAATATAGGGCAGTGGTTCCCAGCCTTGGGTCCCCAGATGTGATTGGACTACAACTCTCAGAAATCCTGGCCAGCACAGCTAGTGGCAAAGGTTTCGGGGAGTTTTAGTCCAAGAGACCCAAGGTTGGAGTCTCCTTCAAGACATCTGGAGACCCAAGGTTGGCAACCACTGATATACGGGCATTGCTGGGATTGGAGATTATGATGCGCCAGCGTGGCATAATGGCCCATGTTCAACTGAGACCTGGGAAATCAAGTCCCAGGTGAGCCTAAGGTTACCCAGTCACTTTGTCTAAGCCTCTCATGGTTGATGTGAGGGCAAAGGGTAGGGGTGAGTCATGTGTTTTCTCTTGAATTCATAAGAGGAAAGGTGAGATAGAAATTGAACTTACAAATAACGTGGTAGTGTTGAAGGAGAGGATCTTGGTTCAGTCACCAAACCATCATGTTTGTTCACTCCAGCATTGACGGATATGCTGACAATGAGCAAGACAAAGTTATAAGCAAAATGTTGACCCTTTGACAGAGGAGATCCACAGTCACAGGAGATGGGCAGGCAGTGAAGGAAGTAGCACCTTCTAGGTGTCCAGTAATCATAAAGGTCAACATTTTGACCTTATTGCTGGGCTCTGGTTTTATTGAGTATTTTACTGCTTTTCACAAAGGTGTAGTGGTTTGAAAGTAGAAATGCATCATCCTCCTCCTCTGCATGTAAAGTGGAAACAATATCAACCCACCTTGCAGACTCTGCAAGAATGGAGCATATTAAAATTGGCAAGTGTGTGTTATTCTGCAGAATGATTCGCAGACACAAACTGCTTTCTTATTCTTTTATACAGGTTTTTTGCCCTTGGACTCCTGTATCACTCTAACGGTCAAGATGCTGCAGCCCTACAGGTCAGAGCGCCACCCTGAGTCCAGGAGGCCAAAGCAACATGTAAATGCACCCCTAGCGGATGAAAGCTTTTAGCTTCTGTTCCACTTTGGACCACCTGGAAACTCGCGTGTGCATGGATTCAGAGCTAGGGGTACATTGTGGCTCGCTGAACTAATGGAGAGTGGAAGGAATCCTGGACATAGCTTGGTTCCCCCTTCCCTTCTCTTTGGCATATAAAAAAACTTTTTGTAGCTCTTTGAAGATTATCTGTACAGCAGAGTGAAAGTGAAAATCCACTTGAAAGACATATTTAAACTATTCTGAATTCCTTGGAAAATCAGGATGTGACTGAATGAATTAGCTGTTTATATAGATCCAGGGGTGTTTTTTTTTTCTTTAGGTAAACTAAAACCCAAGATAAGCCAAATTTTAGGAGGAAGTGACTGGGGTTGGGATGAGGGCAGACAGGTTTAGCTGGCCTGCTGTTGCTATGCAGATACCTTACTTCGTTACCCTGTTATAATAAGTGAAAATCTTTATGTTGTGAGTTTAAAATGCCAATAGCTTTCTTATGAGCAATGAGCACAGGTCTCTCATATCCCTGGACCTAAGCTGCTAGAAAAGAGGAAATAAGCATTCAGGCCCCTATTAAAATTGTTCGATTTCCTAAATCGAACAACTGCTCCCAGTTTCCAGTGTTCAGAGATCTCAGGCTAGAATGCTGGAAGCTGATAGCAGTTTCCTGCTGAGAACTTGCGTGTTTTTCCATATAATAAACAGAACATTGGAAATTTTGTGAAAAGGCTGCTATTATCACTCAGAAGTACTGTATACTCCTCCTTAGTGGCTTCATTGTGATTTGTATTTGCTTGTAGCAGCTTGCAGTTCTTGGGATTGCTTTAAGACTGCTGTCCATACTTGGTGACAACTGTGTGTTAAGCTTAATGTTTTTAAAATGAATTCTTGTACAGTGGTGCCTCGCTTAACCCTTGGGATTGCTTTAAGATCCTGTCCATACTTGGTGACAACTGCGTTAAGCTTAATGTTTTTAAAATAGATTCTTGTACTTTCCTGCATTTGTGGTGCTTGTGTTTTTTGGTATTGTACTCGCATTGGTGGTGCTTGTGTTTTTTGGTATTGTACTCATTGATCCTTTTAGTATGTTATACTCATTGTTATTAACTTGAAATACTGTTATTGTATACTCATTGTTATTAACTTGAAATACTGTCTTTTAATTGTTGTAAGCAACCTTGAGCCCTTTTAAAGGAGAAAGGTGGTTTAAAAATATTTTAAATAAATTACATCTCATTTGGGGTTGGGAGAAGGGAGAAGAAGCTACCTACAGTACTTGCACCCTGTGCAGCACCACCTGGTGATGATAAATAGGTGCTGCTTTTTGACACGAGTTAAGCTTGTAAGGTTTTGTTGACTTGTATTCCCAAGAGCCTCCTGCCTTGAAGAACTGTGAATGGTCATGGAATTAAACCCTGATGGATTTACTTTCTTCTCTATTTTAGTTATGGGTAAAAATTGTTAATGGAGACATTCAAGACTCCACACGCACAGACCTTTACGATTACATTGTAGACTTCCTTACCTCTTGCCCTGACCATGAACTGGTGTGGAAGTATGCAGAGTGGGTCCTGCAGCGAAGTGAAGAGGTTTGTGGTTGCATTTTTTCCCAGGAAATAATTTTAAAATTGCTGTTGCTTGGATATCTTCTTTTGAAATAAACTATGTCTCATTTGGGATTGGGGGAAGGGAGAAGAAGCTGCCTACAGTACTTGCACCCTGTGCAGCACCACCTGGTGATGATAAATAGGTGCTGCTTTTTGACACGAGTTAAGCTTGTAAGGTTTTGTTGACTTGTATTCCCAAGAGCCTCCTGCCTTGAAGAACTGTGAATGGTCATGGAATTAAACCCTGATGGATTTACTTTCTTCTCTATTTTAGTTATGGGTAAAAATTGTTAATGGAGACATTCAAGACTCCACACGCACAGACCTTTACGATTACATTGTAGACTTCCTTACCTCTTGCCCTGACCATGAACTGGTGTGGAAGTATGCAGAATGGGTCCTGCAGCGAAGTGAAGAGGTTTGTGGTTGCATTTTTTCCCAGGAAATAATTTTAAAATTGCTGTTGCTTGGATATCTTCTCAAGAATAGTGGGCATTCTTGTTCTTTTTCTGTTTCTTAAGTCCATTCCTACATAGTTCCACTATCTTCCTCTCCCAAACAAGATGTGTAAGCAGTGGTAAAAGGTGTGAAATAATGCATAGTAAAGTTGTGCCCAACCATGTGTTGGGCGTGCAGACACAACAATGGCCATAAAATAATTTAACATTTTTTTGTGCCAAAGCTTTCTTCTTAGTGTCAAAGTAGGGGTTTTTTTTGTTGGTGAGCGATGGTATATTCCAACTCTCAAAGCACAGTATTTTGTATTTGGAAGAATGCTGTGTTTCTCACAGAGGCTGCATGCAATCTTGTACAGTGGACCCTTGACTTACAGACGGCTTGACTTACAGACTTTTTGAGTTACAGACTTCTCTGGTCGCAAAATTTCGGTTTGACTTGCAGCCTGAGAATTGACTTACAGACCAGAAAAAAACCAAAATGGAACAAAAACGGCCTGTTACAGGATTAATCGGTTTTCAATGCACTGTAGGTCAATGGAGACTTGACTTACAGACTTTTTGACTTGAGAACCACCTTCCAATACGGATTAAGTTCTCAAGTCAAGACCACACTGTACTCAATGTAGACTGAAGTTGTTCAAACAATAAGAAGAATCCTTTAGACTGGTGTGGAAGAGCTGGCTCTTCAGACATTCTTCCAATAACTTTTCACTGTTGATATTCGGGCTGGGACGTCTGGGAGCTTTAAGTCCAAATCATTTGAAAGACGAGAAAATTTCCACCCTTACATGAGGCATTGTTTGTCATGTACAGTGGTGCCCCGCATAGCGACGATAATCCGTGCAGCAAAAATCATCACTATGCGAATTCGTCACTATGCGAAATTAAACAGCCCAAAGGAATGCATTGAAACCCCTTCAGTGCGTTCCTATGGGCTTAAAACTTACCTTTTAAGCGAAAATCCTCCATACGGCGGCCATTTTAGCTGCCCGGTATGCGAAGAATCCGTCCCTGTTTTACCTGGTGGCCATTTTGGAACCGCCGATCACCTGGGGAAAAATCATCGCTATGCGCAAATCGGTAAGTGAAACAGCTTACCGATCATCGCAAAGCGATTTTCCCCCATAGGAAACATCGTTATGCGATCGGAAAAGTGATCACAAAAACATCATCGCTATGCGGATTCGTCGTTAAATGGGGCGCCCGTTATGCGAAGCACCACTGTACAGTATTTGTTTGTTTGCTGGATTTCTGTACCGCCCAATTAGTGAAAAACACTAATACTATATAAAGGTCTTTTCTAAATAGTTGCTTCCTCTGTCCATTTTCTTTTCTCTTGTGTATATATTTCATTTGACTGTATTCCTTAGAGTCTGCAGCTATATGATTTAATGTGAGAGGCATAAGTCTAGCCATTTGTTTTAAGGAGAGGCTGCTTCCTCATCTATAGACTGAATGTTATGTTCGTTTTCACTGAAAAGTTTGTTACTACATAATAATAATTCATATCATGCTTTCAGCAACTGCATAGAATTAGAAAAGGTTTGATATGTCCATTCAACTCTAATACATTAGTGAACATGAAAAATAATTGGTAATCTTAGGTAGAAATTTGAGTGTGCTGTGAAGTGTCTGTAAATTCACATTCTTGATTTCCTCAATGTATTTTCTTTTAGGTTGGTGTGTACATTTTCACTAAAAGGCCATTGGAAGAAGAACAGAGAAACAGCTTTAATCCAGACGATGTCATCAGATGCCTTAACAAATTTCCCATATCACTAGTAAAATACTTAGAATTCTTGGTATTAGAAAGAGGAATAAAGGTGAGTTTGGGGGTAGGAGGTGAGGCATTTAGGACTGAAGTGTGTGTATGCCTACATGCGTGTATATTTGTGTAAGAATATTTGGTTTTGCATGGCTCATATACTCTGTAGCTCTCTATGCGGTTATAGAGCAGTGAGGATTCTTTGACTGTTCTCCCTTCCTCACCCGCTTGCATACTATTAAGTGCATCTCTTCAGAAGCACCAAAATGTTTCTATTATTATTTTACTACAAACTAGGAGTAGAGAGTCCTGGTGTGTAGGTAAGCCATTGAATTTGAATGAGCACTCATGAGATAAGAATGGGAAAAAATGTTGTGTGGGAAGGATTTGTCATATACGTAAATAAAAGGATGCATGTTGCTATACTTATTGCAATGGTGGTTGTATTCTGAAAGGTACAATGGCATTTTTTTCTGTCTGGTGTCATGGAATGTCACCTTCACAACACACGAGTGAAGAAATGTGGCTGAAACTTTTAATTTCTGAAGTTGTTAAAGGACAGGTGCCAAATCCTTTGGAAATTGTTCATCTATTGGACACAGTTGACTTCCTTATTAATATCTTGTTTTAATCATTTGTTGTAATTTGTCTTTTATTGAAATAGCAGTAGAAATGGCTTAGAGAGATTATTAAGAAATTAATGGATTGTCGTTTTTGATGGCAGAAGGAAAAGTTCCACACCCACTTAGCAGAGCTTTACCTGGACGAAATTCTACATCTGCAGTCATTGGGTGCAGAGGGGTGTGAGGAGCTAGCCAAAACACAGGCAAAGCTGCGCCATCTTCTGCGAAAATCTGACCTTTATAGAGTTCATTTTATTTTAGGTAAGAGAACCAGAATCCTGTTCGCAGTTGGGGGGCCCTTTCACTGTCGTTCGAGAGCTGTGTTCCCTCAAGATTTATCTTTTGAAAAGAACAGAGTTTGAAAAAGTTACTCTTTTGAACTCCAGTCCCACATCTCCTATTGAGCATCACTGTTGACCTTGCTGACCAGGAGACTTTGGGGTTGTAGTCTGAAAGAGGACATTTCCAAGCTCTGTCCAGTGGGAGGGAACTGTACATCCTGCACATGTGCAAGGGCTGCTGTCTGGTGGGCAGGACCCAAAGCCAAACGTAGGCCTGACCCCTGTGTTTCATTTTCCTTTGCATTCTCCCTCATTCTTTATTTTTTCTGGGTCCATTGGACTTGGCAAAGAACAGACAGTTTGCTGTGCCAGAGGGTCTGAATTGATGCATTTGCAGAGGCCTGTTTAAATCAAGCTGAGGTCTGTACATTGCCCCACTGTGGCTTATACACTGTAGAAGAGGTTTTGCTCAACTCCATACAAGCACAGAAATGGTGTGGATGGAGGATAGCATTTAGACCACACAGGTGGAGCTGCACTCCATTTCTGTTGATGCTGGCTTCTGCTACCTCAAAGAGGTATTCTCCTTTCACAATAACGTATGGCTGGTTTAACTTACAGCACCCTAAGAGAGGAAGAGAAAAATGTGTGGTCCTGAAAATGTTGTTAGAGTGCCACTTCCCTCAGCCCTTGCTATTGCTGAAACAATGGGCATTGCAGGCCAGTATCATCAAGAGGGCCACAAGTAAATCCCAGTGATTTTAACACGCAGTGACCTTTGCAAAAAATGAGTTGCAGAATGGGATGTCGGCACCAGCATAATCTGCCCAATAGCCATAGTCCTTTTATTACTTTGCTGATGTAGAATGAATTACAGGAATTGGACATCTCACTTATTGACAGTTGCACCACACATTATGTCTTTTTGCTGTGCTGATTGGGTCTTTGGGCCCCCCTCCCAAGAAGATAGTAGAGTCATGGGTGATAGATCACTCCAACCCTGTGTGAATGCTAGTAAGGTCTTCTCTGGTGTTTGATGTCTTAACAGCGTGCTCAATCCCATGTTGAATGTGAACAGCACAGTTGCAACAACAGTTAAGAGCAAACGGTTGGAAAGGATCCACATTGGACTCTTCCAGGCCTCCACTTTCTCTTGCAGGTCCTCACAGCCCATAGCTGTTCCTGAGGGCTGGGGAGCTCTTCCGAGTGGTGCACAATGCGGCTGGAAAAAGTAGGGTACCACCAGCCATGGGCATCCACAAAGGAGAAAAGCCTTCTGTTTATTAAACAGTGCTATTTATACCGCATCCATTGTTGGATAAATAGTTATAACATAGAACCTTTTCAAAGGTTATAAAGATAATTCTGGGTACAGAGGTCTGTATGAAAATGCCAAGAGTCGGAGGAACTGTTCTCTTAGTTTATTTTTTATTCTTTTAAGAGCAGAAGCATACATGAGCTCCACTGACTGCCAGTCTGTTTCCAGGCCCAGTTCAAATATATTATGGCTTGAGCCTAGGCTATTTGAAGGATCAAATCAGCCCATATGAGCCTTCTCGGTGGCTGCTCTCAAGCTTTGCCACGCACTGCCCTAAGAAGTCAGACTGGCCCCCCTCCCTCTTGTCCTTCTATCATCAGGCCAAAGAACTTGTTTTCAGGCAGGCTTTTATGCAATAATTATCTCAGGAAAGTTTTGCCTAAGAACTTGTTTTTCAGGCAGGCTTTTAAGCAATAATTATCTCAGGAAAGTTTTGCCTATTAAACTTAGGGATTTTTTTAATGTTTTAAAATTGTTTTTAATCTTGTTTTTAATTTTAATAGATGTTTGATTTTTTAAAAATATGGTATATGGTATTTAGGGATTTTTTTTAATGTTTTAAAATAGTTTTTAATCTTTTTTTTAATTTTAATAGATGTTTATTTGATTTTTTAAAAATATGGTATATGGTATTTTTAGAAATCATTAATTGTTGTATAGTTTGAGCCATTGTGAGCTGCCTTGGGTCCCCTATGGGGAGAATGGCAGCATATAAATTATATAACTACATACATTGTGAATAAATATACGGAGAATGGCAGCATATAAATGATATAACTACATACATTGTGAATAAATATAACCCTCTCTTGCACTGAATAACTCTGTTTAAACATCACATTTTGCAGATAAAATCAGTGGCACAGATCTGCATATGGAGTGTGCAATCTTGTATGGAAAACTGGAAGAGCATGATAAAGCTTTACATATCCTGGTCCATGAGCTAAAGAATTTTGCCGCTGCCGAGGACTACTGTGTGTGGAATTCTGAGAGCAAAGACCTTCCTTACAGGCAGAAACTGTTTCACACACTACTTTTGACATATCTAAATTCGAGCACGTCCGAAGAAGAACTGATCATGGCAGCTGTAGATCTTCTCAACCATCATGCCCCTGACTTTGATGCTGTGTGTGTTCTGCAGCTTATTCCTGACAGCTGGTCAGTGCAGCTTCTCTCTTCTTTTTTGACGGGTGCAATGAGGGAAAGCATCCATGCACAAAGAATGACTCGGATTGCAGTGGGCTTAGCAGAAGTGGAGAATCTTACTTATAAGCATGAAAAGGTGAGCATAAGAGCCTGATTATCATACGAATGATGACTTTTCAAGTGGTTCCATCTCTTTTCATGCTTTTATTCATTTTCTGTTTTAACTGAGCTTGTTTTAGTTAATTGTAAGGCACCTTGCATTGCATTCAGGCAAGAAAGATGGGATATAAATCAAATGAATTGCTGAAATTCCATTGCACTGTGAACTCTGCATTCCTGAAAGAAGTTGCACATCCTAATTCTCTTGGCTTATACATAAAGGATGTGCTACTCACTGATGATTTCCAGTATGAAAACGAAATTCCATTTTCCAATTCCATTTCCTGTTAGTGCATCAGCAGTTGGCTTCATTTAATTCTAAATGTGAAAAACATAGAGCTGCATGGGATGCCAACACAAGGGCAAATACATAAATGGAGCACTTCCCTAGTTCAGAGTCCTTCCCACCTCCCGAACCTATAAAGATTGGGGAGCTTTTGGGAAAGGTCTAGGATGGGGGACTGAGGTGGAAGTCGTAGTGTAGACCTAGACATCTGTCTATACCATGGAAAGAGAGTTGTCTATCCTGCATCATTGCTTCCACATCATGTGCCAACCGGCTCTGATAATCTTGGTTTGTTGGCCAATCTTGGCTTGTTGGCTTTGTGATTTCAAAAGGGAAGACTGGAGATGCACACAGATAGTTAGATGCTCACCATAAGATATGTACAAGATATCCAGGGCTCTTATGCTTGGGGGGAAAGATGTGAGATTTGAATGTTTGCCTTAAATTACTTTGGATGCTAAAGTTATATCTGGGATAACTGTTAACTCTAGATAATTGACCTATTTCAATTGACATCACTTAGTCTGAGGATAGAAAATGTGTTTCTATAGCACAGAATGCCACTGCCTGTCCTTTGTGTTGAATCTAAAATGGAGAAATGCTCCTGTATCCTGAATAAGAATACCCTTAGAATGTTACCACAAGGGCATTAGGAGACCTTGAAGGGTAGGGACTTGGTCATATCCCAAGGCAGGCTTTCATCTATCTCAAAAGTTGAGTCTTCTCTTTCCATGAGGTTTTACTTCTGGTGTAGCCACTGACAGCCCAAGTAATCCTTTGGCAACATGGTGCTAAGTATGGAAGCAGCCACTCTGCCAAAGCTGCCCTCTGTGCATTGAGCACAATTAAACTACTTTGCAGCAAAATTAGGAAAAGTGTGCATCCCTGCCTAATGTAATGCAGAAGGTATGATAGAAGCCAGTCATCCTGCCACCACATTCTGGTGACCCAAAACGAGAGCTGTAAGAGGAATTATGTGGCCCTGTAAATGTTGCTGAACTTAAGCTTTCTTCATTCTTTGTCAAAGGCTGTGCTGATGGGAGTTTAACATGTTGAGAAATTTATTTAAAATATAATTACAATGATTTTAAAAAACTCAGTATTTAAGGTAGTAACAATGAGTATACAATACTAAAAGAATCAATGAATACAATACCAAAAAACATAAGCAATACATTTAATGCAGTCGGGTACAATATTCCATTTAAAAAACCCCACTTGGCAGCCATATTTAATGCAGTCAGGTACAATATTCCATTTTAAAAACCCCACTTGGGAGCCATTCACTCAGGGAAAGATTGCCTTAAGAGAAAGGTCTTCTGCTTGTAGAAGGACAGTAAAGATGGGGCTAGCCTGGCCTCCTAGGGGAGGGAGTTCCAGAGTCTGGGAGCAGCGACAGAGAAGACCCTCTCCTGTGAAGGTGGCAGGACCAAGAGGAAAGCCTCTTCTGATCATCTTAACACTTGAGCAGGCTCATAAAGGGAAATGTGGTCCTTGTTGAGATAGCTTAGACCTAAGCTGTTCGGGCTGTATAGGTTAGAACTATCATTTTGAATTCTGCCTGGAAATTGATCAGTAGCCAGTGGAGCTGCTGTAACAGTAGATTGGGTGATCCCTGTGTCCAGCCCCAGTTAGCCATCTGGCTGTTTTAGATCTGCTGAAGTTTCCTGAGACTCCGTAGGCAGCTCTGTGTAGAGTGCATTACAGGAATCTAGCCGAGATGTAATTAAGACATGTGTCACTGTGGCCAGATCTCTTGCGGAACAAGCATAGCTGGTGCACTCGTTTTAACTGTGCAAATACAGTCCTCGTGAGAGCTGAAACCTGGGCATCCAGATTCAGAGATGAATCCAGGAGTACCCCAAGGCTGCGCACCTCGGTTTTCAGAGCAAGTGTAACGCTGTCCAGCACAGGCTGCATCCCTGTTCCCTGATCTGCCTTTCAACTGATGAGGGACACCTCTGTCTAGATTGAATTTCAGTTTATTCACCCTCATCCAATTCATTATTGATACCGAACACTGATCTAAAGCTGAAATAGCTTCCTCAGGTTTAGATGGCAGGGAGAGATAGAGTTGGGTGTCATACAGATACCGGTGACAATGAACCCCCAAACTCTGGATTATCTCTCCCAGTGGTTTCATGTAGATGTTAATAACATAGGAGATGAAACAGAACCCTGGGTGACCCCACGGGCCAGTAGCCAGGGTGTCAAACCAGATTTCTCCAGTACCACCTTCTGAGTTCTCCTTGCCAGGAAAGATAGAACCCACTGTAAAGCAGTGCCTTCAAGTCCCATCCCTGAGAGATGGACCAGAAGGATAGCATGATTGATGGTACTGAAAGCTGCTGAGAGGTCCAGTAAAACCAACAGGGACACACTTCCCTTGTCTAGTTTCCAGTATAAATATTCCACCAAGGTGACCAGAGCAGCCTCTGTCCCATAATCAGGCCTTATTAATGGACCTAGATAATCAGTCTCATCCAGCAACCCCTGGAATTAAGCCACGGTCCACTCCAACCCCTTGCCTGAGAATGAAATATCAGAGACAAGTCAGTAATTATTCAGGAGCTTTGTAGCACAGTGCTTAAACTATCCAAACTCTGCTCACGAACCAGGTTCAATCCCAGGTAGCCAGCTTAAGGTTCACTCAGCCTTCCATTCTTCTGAAGTCAGTAAATCAAGTGCCCAGTTTGCTGGGAGAGGAATAATTTATTTATTTATTTAAAGTATTTTTACCCTGCCTTTCTCCTTAAAAAGGACGCAAAGTGGCTTCCATCCTTGAAAGACAATATTTAAAGCTGAAAACAATGAGTATGCAACCACGATTTACATCATTAAAAGACAGTATTTAAAGCTAAGAACAGTGAGTATAAAGAGGCAGCTTACAATATTAAAAGACTATATTAAAGCTAAAATAATAAGTATGCAAATACTAAAAAGAAGTATGCAAATGCTAAAAAAGAAGAAATAAACACCACTCTGAGAGTTGGTAAATACAAGTAGTAATGTGTACAATGTTTACAACTTAGTAATAAACTGTAGTAATGTGTACAAGTAGTAAAGTAATATGCCTATAATAACATTGTAAACCACTGAGATAATGCTTTAAGCAACATATAAGCAGCAAGCTTTGCTTATGCTGCTGCTGCTGCTGCTTATTCGGTATTTTGGATCTGAGGAAGGCTTTTTCAACAGTGGTCTTACTGTTGCCTCCTTTGAGCATGCTGGGATCCTTCCCTATTTCAAGGAAACATTCACCATGTTCCCCATCTCTCGTGTACACACTTTGATTTTTAATTCACCAAAGATGTCTTGGAATTGTAGTTGATGACAATACTGAAAGCCTCTGTTTATTTATTTATTTATTTTATTTAATAGATTTCTACCCCACCCATTTAGACCAAAGGTCTACTTGGGTGGCAATATCATTAAATCAGTTCTAGTGCACCTGCGCATAGTGCATCAAGAATCACATGCTTTTCAAAAACTGCAAAGACTAACCTCTGTCACATACCCATTTTAGTGACTTGTTTTTCTTTGGCTTGTATCTCTCTTTAGATAAAACTAAAAGGACATCCGACTATTCTCTCAGACAAAAAACTCTGCCAGGTGTGTCAAAGCCCTTTCTGTGAGCCTGCTTTTGTCAGGTATCCAAACGGCAGTGTGGTCCACACGCACTGCGCTGCGAACAGGCTTGTGAATTCTAACACAAGCCATCATTTATCCAACCCCAGTGGACAGACATGAAACACATTCACGATGGTGCAATTGCTGTGTCGTAGTGGCTCTTTGGAATAACCCAGGAGAATCTGCTGGCTAAGGAACAACTGAGTCAAGAAGAGGGGTTTGCCCTTGGGTGGATGGGAAATCTTCCATCAATCTCGAACACCACCACCCAACTGCTGATGTATGGTGAATGTAGATGGCACAAGAAATTACAGATGTTTATATAATGAAGAAATGCTTTCCTCACTGTGAGTGTAAGTATTGGGGAGGGGAGTAATGAGTATTATTATTTTTTTAAAAAATGAAAACTTGCACTGAACTTGATCAAGCAGAGAGGGTGATGGGCAGAAATGTTTCTTCTCCACATAGTTGGACTATTCTGTCTCTTGGAGAACTGGAATGGAGTAGCACTTTCTTAAGAGTAGAGCATAATGTTCTCAACTGGGTCTAAATTTTGCCTGTTGGAGAAGCATCAGGAACTTGTTCTGTGCTCTTCATAATGTTAAAATTTGATGCACTTTTGAGCCTTTGTTTCCCCCCTCCTTCTCTGCTGCATAAGCCCCAGCTGTTACAAAGCTTATTGAACCAGTGACTTCCGGGCAACCTCCTCCTCCAGTTGGGAGTGAGAGGGGAAGTGGGATGGTGGGTTTGCCATGGTTTGAATGTCCCAGAGTTTCTCACACTACTAATCACAGGGAAGCCACCCACATCTGCTGTATGGAACTGTAAAGTATTTAGGGGTGAGGAGGGGTGAGGGGGAAAGTCTTTAATAAATGTCATGATTTATTTATTATCCTACAAATGTTCTGTAAATACAGCTGAATGAAATGGTTTTATATCTCAGCATTCTCTAGAGCAAGCACATGTAATCAGTAATTCCAGGTATAGTTTTTTAAGTCTACACCTGACATCACAAAGAGCCATCTTTCCCTGCAAGTGAAGAAATCTGTGCCTCTGATCTGCTTTGCAGGAATGGATTTGTACAAAAAAGGGATAAGGATGCTGTAAAGACGTCATTAATTGCATCCTGAAGGTGCTGAATAAGCTTGATAACACTTAATAAATGCTCTATGGATTCTGAAGCGGTGTGCCAAACTCTTTGAAGTCTGCCAGTGTCGGCAAAACTACGTTCATGCTTCTTTTGAATGTTGTGATATAGTACTCTGTTTTACACACCTGTCTACTTACCACTAAGTCACTCGCACTGAATGACTGGAAAGCCGCTGTTCCCATTTTGCACATACTCATGAATCCAAGCTTTAAAGCTGATCTCTGCACTGCAGCTTCCTAAAGAAGAGCTAGAGCAAACTTGTGTTATAAACCTGTAGGGTGTCTGCACTCTACCGTAAAACCATTCAGTGAAGTAAAAGTTGTGGAGTGAAATCTGGAGCTGAATTAGTACTCACTGAAGCGATAAACCTGTGTCTGAGCTGTTACTGCTGCAACTGGTGGCCTTTGGTCTTCATGTAAGAGGTTCTTGCAACATGGAAACCTGTCTGGGAAAAGGATGACTCTGTGCGCATGGTATTAAAAATTTTTTAGGAAGGAGAACCAATGTTTAGGATTCTTGTGTTTTTCTAGATGAGCAGCTGAGTTACCTGTAGGCTCAGGTGATAACAGTATAGATGCACATATATTGTTACCTTGGCTTTAGACCTGAGGTTGCAGTCCTGTGTACACTTACTGTGAACCCAGTGCCATTTTCCCTCCAGTAAAGCGTACTCCTGACAAAACATAAACAATAGCAAGAAGCAAGCCTGTATGCTTACGCTTGGGAATCTAACACTGGTACTCTAGCCGAACCCAAAGTTCTATGTTTCATCAACACTTTTGTAAACTGAGACAGGAAAAAAAAGTCTTCAGTATCCATTATGGCTACTGCTACCAAGGATTCACTCTCCCTTTCCCAGCCTGCAGATCCAGGGTGGGCAGCCGTGATCCAAATCTTTTTGGTCTCTAACTCAGCCACAGCCAGGGGTGAGTCTGGTCAGCTGCTGTTGCTCGAACTGGCTGTAAATAAACACCACCTCTACTATCTTTGTTAGTCATAGACTTAACTTGAAAGACAGTTGGGCTAACGGGGCTGTTGCTCTGTTCGCTACCTGTCTGGCCCTCTACTCGTTGAAGATAACAAGGCTGTATTCCAGTTTTCATCATTCCTGGGAAGAAATCTGTCTCATTCTCTCCCTCTTTCCCCAATCGTATGACATGAAGGATAATCCATGCTGTCTAACTACACATAATTGTTAAGAGAGTGGTTTAACATGGTATGATTATTTCCCCCCCCCCCCATTGACACCGTGCAGGGATCATGGTCAGAATCAGGACTGAAGCAGGCAGGGAGCCTTGCCTTTATTAAACATTTCCCCTCTGCTAATCCCAGGGAAGACCCTCTCTCTTGCCCAGGTCTTTTTAGCTCTGGGAGGAAGGCAATGTACTTTCCATATGAAATGATTTCAGCATTTGGACATAAAAACTTCCATAGACTGAGGCAGGTCACTGATTCGATTTGACTCAGTACTGTTAATACCAGCAGTGGCTCTCCAGCATTTATAAGCAGGATGGGCAGGGCACACTCACGCAGATGGGTGGGGTGCACTCACACGTATGTGCAGATCGGTGGGGCGTGCTTGCACGCATGCACGGATGGGTGGGGTGCACTCATGGATAGGTGGGGTGTGCTTGCACACATGCATGGATAGGCGGGGCGTGCTCACGGGTGGGCGGGGCACCCATGCAGGTGGGCGGGGTGTGCATGCAGGTTGGGTGCATGGGGCAAGTACATACAGGGGGGCGGAGATCTGTCTCTGCGGCATAGTCCTGACATGGCCACAGACTGGCACTGGGCCGTAGACTGGGGGTTGGGGACCCCTGTTCTACATAATAAGTATGTTTTTTACTGAGCTACGGGCTGCTGACTAGAGGAAAGGGTTCAACTGTTCAGCCAGACATCATGGTGTGGAAAAGGTAATCCCTTCTTCCTCCGGAGTTTGCTTACAGTTGGACAAAAATACACGTCATCAAACTGTGTATTTAGCGTAATATATATTTGATCTTATGGAGCTTCTACAGATGTTTGAGGCACTCTTGTTCAGCTGTCAGACCCACCCCCAAACAAGAACAGACTGCCCCGATCTATTTGACAGGATTAACAAAAGTTAATTAAATATTCAGCAGATTTATCAGATACTGAAAGTAAGCATACCGTTTCAACCTTTTACTTTTTTATATTCGCATGTATGAAATTCAAAATAATAACTGCAGTGACTTGTTATCATGGTAGCAGAAATAAAATTTGTTTATGTTAACTACTTGAGAGGAAGGGCAACACCTATAGTTAGTAGATACAGGAACTGACTATCTGAGTGTGCAGTTATGTGGCCAGATTAACACTTAATGGGAGAATCGAAAGCAGTGGACAAGTATGCAGTGATGAAAACTGGAAACCATTCATTATTTACTAGAATAACAAACCAGATACCTCAACAAAGGTTAATTTGATATTTTAATTTCTTGTGGAACTGAGATGGTATACATTCATGAGTAGGTTGGATTGAATTTCTCTGTTTTATGCTATTTCCCAGTGCTAACATATACTACCTCGAAAATAAACATCAATTGTGGTTCTATTTTTTTACCCTCTTATAAATTATAGCTTGACATGAAGCTTTTCTTTGGCGAGGTGATATCTCTGAACACAGATTAATGAAATCTAGGACAGGTGATCCAGGAAAAGTTAGGCCCTGTTTCACTGAAATAAGGAGAAATCACAACTTGGATTGCATCTCCACCTTCTGAGCAATTCAGTGGAGACACAATAGTGACTCTAGACTAAAATATACAGCTAGATGCCTAAGCATGCTTACTGGGATGTGGAACTTGGGTCTCCTTCACATAGCTTCCATCATTGTGAGCTGTTTCCAAAACAAAGAGTGTTAGCTGTGGCTTTCCAAAAACCAACAGGATGCAGCTGTTCTGCGCGGACTGTATTTTGGGTCATTGCACATAACGTTTTGTTTGACTGGAGCTTATCAAAGAAGCCATTGCACAGTGATTGTGCACACTCCACTCAGTGAAATGTAGATGACTTGAGATTAGTATTTTGCTTGACTGGCATACAGTGGAGTGTGACATGTTAATCTGGCAGGGCACAGTTGTCAGGGTGTGTCCTTGGAAAAAAGCTGAACAAGATGATGTCTCAGGCCTGTGTCTTTTTACCTGATAGTATGGTCTCCTGATATCACCAAAACGAAGGCCTTAACAAATTGTAGCATTGAATTGTGGTACTCATAATTCAATTTTTATAACATGTTAGCATCCTTTTTGGGGGGGGGGAGGTGAAAAGACTGACCAATTACTAATCCCTGTTAAATCAACATACTTTTCAATCAGTTTTAAATTGTTTTTGAAATACTGTTAGAAACTTTATGGGAGAGCTCATCTGTAAGTTTTGGGAGTAATGAGTTAGTACAGTGGACCCTTGACTTACAAAACATAACATGTTAGCATCCCCCTTTTTTTGTGAAAAGACTGACCAATTACTAATCTCTGTTAAATCAACATACTTTTCAATCAATTTTAAATTGTTTTTGAAACACTGTTAGAAACTTTATGGGAGAGCTCATCTCCTATAAGTTTTGGGAGTAATGAGTTAGTAGTAATGATACTGAAAAGTAGTGACATCACTTGTTACATTATTTTGTAAACTCATTAATTAAATAAATAAGATTGCCCACCACCATCAACTGAAAAGTAGTGACATTATCACTTGTTACATTATTTTGTAAACTCGTTAATTAATTAAATAAATAAGATTGCCCACCACCATCATACACATTTTTATTTGTAACATACTAGCCAGAATCCTACTGGCTATTGATGCTTGCAGAAGGGAAATCGTGTCATGTCTCAGCAGCAAATTGCCATTCATTAATGAGATGGCAATTACGTTCTTGGCCACATACTCAGGAACGTAACCAGCTCCTGATTCATGAATGGCCATTTGCTCTCAGGACATACACAATTTTCCTTATGCAAGTGTGAATTAGCAGTAGGATTCTGGCCATTATTTACAGGGTCTAAGTAAATGTGTGATTGCATGTAACTAACTTATGTAGAATGTTTTTTCTTCTGAACAATAGCAGTAAGCAGTTAGGGTAAGGACTATGGTATGTAGGGAGGAAGAGTCAGCCCACCAATCCCATGATGTTCATCATGTAAGTCATCCCCTTTTAGGGTAAGTGGTATGTAGGGAGGAAGAGTCAGCCCACCAATCCCATGATGTTCATCATGTAAGTCATCCCCTTGCAGCCCAACCTGCTCTCAGTGCAGGGAAAGAAGATTCCATTAGATCAAACAGCTGTTGTGGGGCATTTTCAGCAGGAATGTGATATTTGGAAGGCTCATCCTTCCACAAAATTATTCACAGTCGCCTGTTAAGTCTTCAGATTCTCTTGTCAGTTGTAACCACCTTGTGTTAGAATGTGCATAAAACACATAATCTGTATTTTTGCAGGCACTCAGCCTTTTCATTGGGCATTATGCATTGGTCTTCACAAGAAGACCTTACCTGATATAACTGCAAATGGGATAGTAGGCGCTGAATTCAACAGCTCGTGATTTGGCTACGTATGTAGTATTTCTTTCCTCTCCATCTAGAACAGCGGTTCTCAAACTTGTATCCCCAAATGTTCTTGGACTGCAACTCCCTGAAATCATGGTCAACACAGCTGGTAGTGAAGGCTTCTGGGAGTTCTCATTCAAGAACATCTGGGGTCCCAAGGCTGGGAACCATTGACTCAGGAGAAACTAGAACAATAAAAGCAGTAGTCTTATTGGCTGTCAGGATAAGACAGTAACATTTGGTCATTCAGCAGAGAAAGTAGTTTAGCAAGTGCTGTGTTAGACTGATTGTTTCACATGACCAAAACTCGAACATTCTGCACAGTCAATATATGGAACAACACTAGGATTCTGTCACAGAATATGAGGGGTTCAATCATTTTGTTTCTTCTCCTTAGTAATTAAAAGAACCTGGTTATTCCTAAACAGCAGATTGGTGCTCACTACAGACATATATTGTGCTTGGCCGTATTCTCCTTTTTGTTCGCCCAGGCACTTTAGGAAATATCTTAAATGTTTTCGGCAGGAACTCTAGGCAGGCCTCACGGAATTTTTTGATCCTCCAACAGTAGATGACAGGATTGAACACAGATTTAAGGTAACTTAGCCACAGCACACAGGTGCTGGTGGCATAGAAGGATGGGCTGTAGTAGAACCGCCTGCTGAACACAGACATCAAACTGAACACAGTGTGTGGAAGCCAGCAGAAGGAAAAGCCAACAAAAAGAATGAGAATGGTAGTGAAAGCTCTGGTCTTGAAGCTCATGTCCACGTTCATTTGATGAGGCTTTTGCAGCCCTACCAGGCCCAGTTTGCTCACCTGATTCAAGCAGACACTCTCAACGTGGTTGTGGATTCGGACTGTATTCCGCCGGACAGTATTCAGAATACAAAGATAAGAGTACAACATGATGCTAAATGGGATGAAGAAAATGGCCACAATTAACATCACAGCATAAGCTCTGTCTGCAGGAAACTCAGTGTATCCCAAGACGCACTGGGGAGCCCGGCTTGGGAATTCTACAAAGGTCCATCCGATCACAGAAGGGAAGGAGATGCAGAAAGAAAAGGCCCATGAAAGGGCAATCATGATTTTGGCACGGTGTGGGTTCAGTTTGTCTTGGCGTTGGACAATGATTAGGAATCGGTCAACACTAATGATCAAGAGTATAGAAACACCTTCCAAGACAAAGAACCAGTAGAGCATAGCTGATACACGGCAAAAGTGAGCCCCAAAGTTCCATTCCACCGTGATGACGGTCACTGCAGTAAAAGGCATGCAGAACAAAGACAGCATGATATCGGAGGAAGCTAGAGTAGCTAGAAGCAAGTTGATGGCTGAACGCATGGCTGGCTTCTGATAGACAATCAAGCATACGATGGCGTTGCCTAAGAATCCAACAGCAATCATGAATAGCATGATTATGGCCAAGAGTATCCTGAGTGGTGTTGGCAAGGCCGTGTGATTGGGGCATGGGACATGAGCACTGGCATTCAGGGGGACACCCAGGAGGGTCTTGTTACATGCCATCATAGTGCAGTATGTTGCCAACAGAGATGCTCAGTCCCCACCGTCTTCCTGCTAACTTTTTGGCTGCTGTCATTTTCCCATCATAGCAGCTATAAAAACTTGAAAGAGATAGGAGTCTGAAAGCAGTTTCTTCAGCAGTCGTTGACAAAACCAGGCCATGGTGACTTCTGAAAAGAGCAAGTACCTGCAGCTCCTTAGCAAAGATGTGGGTGTAGCCATTATGAAGTGCATATCTTCAGATCATTCTAGGATCTGGAAAACTAAAAGAAGAAGAAAGCTGTGATCAGCATCTACTGATTCGTAGTAATATACACATGTTGATGCCTCATAGCAAAAGTGTGTGCAAAGTGATTTCAATACTTATTGAAATATAACACAGTACAGATGTTCTGTTTCTTAATTTACATTGTGTATAGGAAATCTGTTTAGACTTGTTTTGCTTTTTGTTTTGTTTTGTAACATCTTTGAAATGTAGCAACTTCAATGTCATTTCGCCACTTAATGCTAGCACCAACTTCAAAATTTATATTATTTCTAGACTGTCTCCTGGCTAATACTCAAAACAGGTTTTGGGTTGTTTTTGTTTTGTGGAGGGTTTTTTTGGGGTGTGTGCAAAAAATTGCTCCAAATCACATTTACAAATATTTATTTCTTTAAAACGGGTTCCAAAAACCACACTAGTTTGGCGAGTTTTCTGAGAGATATTTGTCCAACGTACGCCTTCTAAACACTTCATAGTATGTGACACTGTTTCACTTGTAAGCAGTTCCATAGCATTTGCAAACTGCTTCATAGCATTTGTGGGCAGATTGTAGGACTGCTCAAAACAGATTGGCAAAGTCTGTCCTGGGTGGAGCCTTTTGATACGGTTTGTGTGACCTCAGCTGTCCGAAACCTCCTTATTTAGTGTGTGTGTGTGTGTGTGTGT